TGAGTAAGCTTGTGCTTTATGCAGAATAATACATAAAACCTTGCTAAATCCACCATTTAGTTTATACCTATCAGATAGTTAGACTATAAAAAATATAGTCTCCATTAAATGACTCTATCATGTAAATGAAGCTTGGTCGATCTGTTAAAATGAAGCCGTGACAGTTTATCTGTTAGCCTGACAGATAATTCAGGACATTAATATTGTCACATGTATTACGGGACTCAATATCTGTCATTCAGCTGTCACTGTCACTTTGACTTTGACATTAACATAAGAGGAGATTCGCGCCAATCTATACCGTTCGGGTGAATTATTGAGATAGTGTTGCAATATGTTTGAAATATAAAATAACCTTATTAAACCAGCTAAGTTGTGTTTTTAATGCTACAATGAAGAATAACAGCTAAATATATTAAATGGCAACCCTAGTACAAAATTATTTTGTATGTTTTGTCGAACGATACAAAGGTACTGTGACTATGGTGTATGGTGTATTAAGCACCAACTTACGCAACAATTTGGGAAGCTCGGCGAGCATGCAGCGACAATGCTACCACATCGGTGCGCATTAGCATTCTACCGTTAACTCGCAGCGCGCCAAGGCAAACCAACCATGTCACACATACCAAATAGATTCACACCAGATATAATCCCAGCAAATTATGGCACCGCAATAGTTAGTCGCGTAGCAATTTGTAATCGACAGCCGTTTTAACCCTCTACCAAGAATGGATCACGTGGATTTTATTATCGGTGCTAATTAGCACGTTGTAAAATAGAAAAAACAAATTTATAAAATATTTTTAAAAAATCGAGGGCCACGATGACGCAGTAATCAACGAATTTGGTCTGCGATTCGGAAGTTAAGCAACTTTCGCAAGCGCTGTTCATGGGACGGGTGACCAAATTTTACTATCTCGAACTCCTCCGCGCTTCAAAAGGCACGTTGAGCTGTTGGTCTCGGATTCATTTGCGCTCGTTAACATCAACCAATCCCTACTGGGCCCGCGTGGGGCATCATGGCCTATTTTACCTTATAGGGAATAGACTGATGACGTTATCAATTTCATTATTACTCAAATTAACTTGTGACTCGCCCTAACCTCTTATAGGTCACATTAAGTAATACCTAATTGTATACAAATTCTTTTATCTGAATTGCTTCGTCTATTTCTTAGTCATTGTACGAAATGCGAAACTTATCATACTTAATTTTATGGCATTGATACCATCTCATTCCATACACAAAACCCCATAAATCACTCTGCACAATATAGATTTATCGCTTCTGAAATCTTATAAATTTTCGCATTTTGTTTACACAACCCTAGTCGGCCGTGAATAATATGTCTGCTTTTGCACGTTTCCGTAATATTTTCACTACTTTACAGTGAACAAATATACAGACAAAGAATCTGTTCATATTTACTTGCTATTATACAGTGTTTACTTTAACTATGACCTCTTGTTTTGTTAGAAATTGTTATTTATAGATTAGTAAGAGTTTCAGTAAGAATTTTGCCACTTACAAGAAAAGGCATTAAGTAAAATTTAAATTTTTGTTCTCTGATATATTTTCTTATAGCGCTATTTTGTTTCATCTTATTACTTTAATAACGAGGAACGTACCATAAAGAATGATGGATACGGATTTGACAGCAGTGTTTCCAATTTAGTAGTTTATAGGTACCAAATTTATCCATCAAAAGACATGTAAAAGTAGTAAAATGAAATGAAATGTCGTCATAATGTACACCCCAGATGGTTTTATATCAATGAAAATTGTTATTAAAAAAAAATGCTAATGTACGTAAGTTAAGTACGTTAAGTTAAAACACCTTCGTGAGTAAATAATTAAAGGGGTGTGCAATACATCTAAATTGTTTTTATTGTTAGTAGTATTTGGTATATATCAAGATATGCGTTTGAATAATATTGTTAGTAGATTTAGATTTGTCATAAATAATGTTATATATTATATTTGATGAATTTCGCATTCACATTGCTGAATATTGATATTTATGTTAAAGAAAAAAGCTTTCAAAAAATGCCCTGCTGAAAAGGTTTTGTTGGTGAATTTCGTAAAGCTTCTCTTTAAGATAAACTCGTTTAATTAATTAACATTATCTTTCATTCGATTATTATGTTCTCGGTAAATCATCTCGTCATCCCTATTAATATAACGACAGCTCGTGCAAGTCATAAAAGGAAGAGAAAAAAGAAATGTACAAACTACGCCGAGTTAATGGTTCACTTATAACGTTATGATACCTGTTACGATGCATTAAGGTTGGTTCAGAAAGGGTTACGTTTAAAGTGTTGTCCGCGGTAGTTCAGTAAGAAGCACCGAGGAGAATGGAGGAGTAATGTCCGCCGGGTGGCCGGCATCGTTGCACCAATTATGTCTTATTGTACCCATTACACCGGCATCATGAGAAAAAAGGCGTCTTCCCTTATTTTGGTCGAAGATTCATCCAGTGATTTGTATGTACTTAAAAAATTATTTTAAAGGTTATAATTTGCCTCCAGATCTCACGATTTGAGCAAATTTCATTTTCAGAGAAAAATAGGCACCATAAAGGCCTACTCTGTTTCTCCGAAAACGAAAATTCGTCTATTTTCGAAACCCTAATACGACTCTAAAGGACCACATTTTTCGATAATTAATAAAGAAACGGAGGTAGGACCCTGACACTGCTTCTGATGCACAGATAATATGACGCATATGATTTAAAAAGAATTGCAAGAACGATTCGAAATTTTTGTTATTTTCGTTCGTAGACAAACGGAGTAGCTCCTCTAGGTTTTCTATTTTTTTTTTTTTTATTTACCGAAATATAACTAAATTAACCGTAGAAAATGCCCCAATCTAATAACAATAATAACATTTAAAATTTATAGAGAGCACCGAAAAAGAAATAGCAATTATTAATGTTCGTGAAAATATATAGATTAATGATGAATGGAATTTGTCATATGAATCACCCTAGTAGTGTTAAAAAGTTTAGAAGCTTTGGAAAAATTGTTAAAAAATAACATTTTGAAAAACAACATATATTGCTGTGATCTATCTTGCTCTCTTTTGCACAGTATCAATTCATATATCAAGTCGACATTGAATTGAAGTTAACCGAACTAAGCTCCACAGATTAATTATTAGTTACCTAACTTTATTAAGTAAATTTATACCAATATCATAGATTAAAAACTCCTTAGCAGAATATTATATTATCACTTCGCCCGCGTGGACCCTAGGGAAATGTTAAGTGGGATAAAAAGTATTATTATCTGACCTATTATCTAAGTCAGCTATCTGTGACCTATCTGTATACCAAATTTCATAAAAGTCCGTTCAGTAGTTTCGGCGTGATTGACCGACAAACATCGAAACAAAGAAATTTTCACATTTATAATATTAATAGGATAATAGGATTAGGAAATTTTATATCCTTTGAGATAATTTCCAATAAGTTTATACGCAACACCCACAACATTCGAAAATTTATTCTTCATATTTCGAAAATCAAGCAAAGGAAAATATACTTACAAAACAAATGTTTATAATCTTTAATGTTCTGTTGTAATGGACATTTGGTAACTAAAACAAAGTTTCAATCTATTGGGAACAACGATTTAGGGCAAACAAGGAGTTCGAAAACTTTTCTACTCTTCGCGAATAAAAATATCTTATCTAACTCCGTGAGAAATAACGATAGTTCCCAACATATATCTATGGTACACATAGAAATTGCATACTTAATGCCAGAAAGCATTCTCTAACACCAGTATAGTCGAGTATAAATAATTACTTAATTAAAAGTAATTACTTAAGCAAATATTTTTAAAAAATAAACAATAATTTGAATGAGTTAGAATTAGAATGAAACTATTATAAGTTCTAAGATCAACGACATTTTAAATATATGTAAATCGTCGTTTGTACAAATCAAAGACATTACCGAATTTGAATTTAAATTACATAATAAAAACTGTTACTAACTAGTAGATACAATAAAAATAATCATCAAAACTTGAATTTAGAAATATTACGAAAACTTTACCTGTGTTATTCTCCAAAAGAATTTTTCGTTGCTTAGAAACACGAGTCGCTAGAGTTCCCACTTAATATAAACGAATTAATATTAATTAATAGAAACGAACAAAAGAATTAAGATGAATTAAAATCAGATTAGGTCTTTTTTTTTGTATATTCCACATAGCATTTACATACCCGTGTTTTCCACAATTTATAATTCCTTATACCTAACGATAACGTTTGTTAGCGCATCGTTTTAGAACAACTATCTTATTTTGACATATATTTTATACTAGCTTTCGCCAGCGGCTTCGCCCGCGTGGACCCTAGGGAAATGTTTAGTGGGATAAAAAGTATCCTATTATCTAAGTCAGCTAACACCCTATCTGTATACCAAATTTCATCAAAATCCGTTCAGTAGTTTCGGCGTGATTGACGTACAAACATCCAAACATCTAAACATCCAAACAAAGAAACTTTCACATTTATAATATTAATAGGATAATAGGATTAGTATTATTAAATTAAATGTCAATGAAGAAAAAAAAATTTGTCTGAATAGTATTGGAAAATTCTGTTAAAAACTGAAAACGACTAGGTACTACAACTATTTTTAATGTGTTATTGACCTGATTAATAACACTATTTAAAAATATATAAAATCTTATAACTATGTTTTGAAATGCCAGCAGAAAAACGTTAAGAACAAGTTTTGTACGTAATATAAATTTTTCTATTGTTAACATTGAAAACGACACAAAAAATGGTTTGTTAATCAAATAAAATTAAGCAAGAGTCTATTTAAGCAAGAGTTTTTCATACCTCAGTTCTTATAAATTAATGGCCACGTTTTCTTGTAACTAAAGTAAAACAAGTAGCTTCCGAAAACTAAAATTCTATTATTAGAAAAAATCTATTAATTTCTATCGATTTGTTAGTCTCAAATTCAAATTTATTTTACCTGCAAAATTAAATTCAAGGGTCTGCTCACTCTGCACGAAGGCGCAGGAGGTTCGTATCCCCAAAAACATTTCCAGGGCATCCTTGATACATATCTAGTAATTATAAAACAAGAAACTGTGGCATGTTTAACAAATTTTAATTTTATTTAACTGCCATGTTTTAAGCGCGTCTATTTTACTTTCAACAGCACGCCGTGTTAAATCGGATAGCACGTCGGATAACGACCGGTGCGAGACACAGACGAGATACGACTGAGCCAGCTGATCCATGTTTTGCGGCGGATCACAAGGGACTTGCCAGGGAACAGGGGACAATTGGTTTCATCTCAATCTCCAACGGCTTCGAAGCAAATCGAGGTGTTTACTTCTAATAAAATGTACGTCACGTAAAATGTAGTGTAAAAATAAACTTGAATTTTCCCTCATTTATATTTTGATTCGCTATGTTTCGTAATAAAACCAGAATTCTCGTCATAATCTGCTTAAATAAGTTTGTAAAAGCTATTTTATTTGCGTACAAAAAATGGTAAGCTTTTTGAATTATAATTAAATATACTTTATAGCGCTCCGCCACATTTTAAATTCATAAAAGAGATTTTTTTTCCATCCCAGTTCTTAATTTTCTCCTAAAGTCCTTTCGTAATCCGGTCATAGGTAAGGAAAAAGTCGGATAATTTTGACAAACTGAAAAAAAAGTGAGGCATGATGATCACGCATCAGTTACGTTAGTAACGATAGGAATGATGAATTAGGTCCTTACATATGAAATTGGCGTTTTGTCATACTGGCCACTTTAATCACAAATTTCTCCTCCTTAGTTGGGAACTCCAAATTCAAATTAAAACAGTCATTTACACATGTATTTGTATTTCGTTAGGCGGCATTCATTTGTTTTTTTTTTACCTACCAAATTAGAAGAGCTTCAATTGGAATGTCTAAGACATCCACCGTACTCCCCGGACCTTGCTCCAACAGATTACCATTTTTTCGAAATTTGGATAACTTCTTGCAAGGGAAAAAATTCAACTCCAATGGGGCAGTGCAAATCGTCTTCAAAGATTTTATTGATTCCCGTCCGAATGGTTTTTTTAGTAAGGGGATCAATGAACTACCTATGAGATGGCAAAAGTGCATAGATAACAATAGTTTATACTTTGATTAAATAAATATATTATATTAAAAAATATTCAATACCAATTTCATATGTAAGGGCCTAATATTTATGTATTTAGACGGACCACCGTCTATAGAGTAACTGTAGTGGCTATAGTAAATACATTATACCTAAGTAAACACTCATAGTACGAGAGTAATGAACAAACCAGTTCGAACAAAAAAAGGCTAAATATCTGAATTGCCATACAATAGTTTAAAAAAAAAGTATAACCGACAAAGTGTAATTCGGATATCGTCAGCTTCATACGAATATTGAAATACAAAAAAAATATTATAGGTTATCCTGCTATATATAGATTGGAAATAGAACTAATATATATTGTACTTTTGTTATTTGATACCTCACACGTAAGCACGTCTCATGTATAGCTAGCCCAACTTTTTCTTTTAATTTTCTAATTTACCTTCCTAAAGCTGACCCTTATGTATAAAATTCATTTGTTTATATTACGCGTGGTGGGGGTGGTATATTGGTTTGAATATCGGTTCAACAATGTGGGCATTAGATTGACGATACACCTAACCTACCCAAAGGATGCCATAGACGCTCTAATAATATATCTTTGTTATCTTTTTGTTTATCATGTGTAAAAAAAAAACATTAACTTTAAACATATCCACACGCAAAAAATCTTTTAAAAAAAGTCTTTCTTTTCCATGTCATTGTGGGCATTTACCATTAAGAATATTTTCCAAGGTAGCATTATAATGCAAAATTAATATATAATGGTCCTTGAAAAAACCTAGAAAAGTATTTGAAAAAAGTGGGTTTACACCATCACGATTTATTTGTCGATTTTATGTTTTTAATGATTTTATTTTTTGACACACTATTGATTATTTTTTGCTTACAAACAATAATTGGTTCAAACCTCAAAGGTCCTTTTAGTTCGATTTTGATGAAGCAAAATCTAAATGGACGTTTGTGCAACTGACCGATAATACCATACATTTTTATCTTATCGATCGTAACACAAAAAGAAACCAACAATTTTTTAAGGTCGGTGTCAGCCGTGACATTAGTAAGAAGTAAAACAACACTATTAGAAAATCAATTTTTCTCTTACCATACATGATAATTTTTATAGTAAATATCTGGCACAGAACAAAAAAAAAATTGTTGGTGTATCCACTTTTTATGCAGAAGCACACGTGTTTAGAAGCCTTATACCGACCAACATATGAATATTACGCCATTTTAACCAAATTACATAAAATAAGGTTCATCAAAATTGATCACATTACCAAAAAAAGTCATTTGAATTGATAAACTTCTCTTGTTTTAAAGTCACTTAAAAGGGCTATTGATGGTGATTATGAATGAATGAATTAATTATTAATTAATTAATTAAACAAGATCACATTAACAGTTTTCAAATTTATTAATGAAAATCTTATTTGATTGCTTTTTTTAAATATTTCCATTGCAGTCTCTCCTTAACAATGTAGTTGGACCAACGCAAACAGCTTCCATTAGTAGCGTGTGGTAAATATCCAAATCAATACACCGTAAACTTACGAAACATTATTAAGATCTTTTTTATGATTTCTACTTTAATGTCAACGTATCTTTATAGCTTCTTACCAAAGTGTTTAAACATGATAGAATTATAAGCTCCACTAAATTTCTAACAAGTCGCCCGCTTGTTATGCTTTCATATCAGTGAATTTTACATGGACACGACATTAACATGCATACAACACTTTAAATCCATTAATACAAATCTGGGATTATGTCTGGCTACCAGCATTATCTCATTCGAGTACGGCATTACTTTCGGATTGGTCGATCCCTTCCCGTCGTTATTTATCTATGATTTTTGTAATGAGTTCATTTGATATCTATATCTATGAATTGTCCTTATTAAATAACTATTCTGGTAAAGGTAATGTACGAAAACTAAAAAATTAAAAGAGCTTTTACGACAAACTTTTGAGGTCAACTTCGTAACATTTTAACGTTGTTGTTTGCTGCTGTTTTTGAACGATAATAATAATATAATTGTGTGTGATAGTGAAACAGTATTGAGAAGCTGTACTTATCTGCATTATTACTACATTCTATTTATAGTTATAAAATGAACATAAAACAGAAACTAGAAGTTACACTACATATGTAATTAAAACAGAATATGTACGGTTCATCTATTAGTAATTAGAGTAAGTTAAAATTAAACATGACCAAGAACGAACCTGCAACTCCACGCGAAACGGAGGTGTGACAACTGCCGGCTGCTGGTCTCGTGACCATGGACAGTTCCAAGGCATGCTGAACGCTGATATTACGATGTTTACTATCGAAATACGCACTGTTGACCTCTCACATAACTTAAACACTTCTTTACACTAATATCTTCACTTCTACTTAACATTTATTAGTTAAAACTTGGCAGAAATTTGGTAAATTTATACAGTTTTACATTTCAATATCTACTCGTCAAATTAATTTTAATATTAAATGACGCGTAATCGTACGTTGTGCGTGCAACAAGACGGACGCATGCGTGCAGTCGGTGCGCCAATCGGTTCCCGACTATGCCGCCACGGGTGCCAGGGCTCACGGGCCTAAATGTCCCGGTCCCGACTGCTCCCGAGTTAGGTCGCGCCCCCCGCCAGGCATTAGTAAAAGCGTATCAGTGAAATAAATACCGTAACAAATTCCAAAGAGGCTTTAAATCGAAAAACGTCTGTCAGACAAAGATATCATTATATACTCAACTTAAGTTTTTATGGTGAATGGCAAGTAATAATATATTTCGTAAATGTTGCAAACGAATAAAAATGAAATGCTTATCTGCTCTTTTACCGTGACTTTTCCCGCGTTAATCATATTAAAGCCTGTGTCACCTTGAAAGTGAATGTTTTTTTTTTAATCGGTCTAATAGTTTCAGAGTTAATTCAAGGCAAACAAACAATCAAATATATTATTTTATAATATAAGAATAGAATAAAATATGACCCCATAAATAAAAAGAAAATTTATGCATTGTTATGTACCATTTTTTTAAATAATATAGCATTTATTGTTTCCCGGGACTTCACACGCTTAAATAAAATTATAGTCTCGTCAACCGCAAATCAAAAGATTTTTTAATTCGGATCAGTAAGTACTTATTCAATACAAACTAATAAACAATCAAATCTTTCCACTTTATAATATTAGTATAGATTAGAATTATAGATGAAAAAATATTAGATATCATTGTTTATTGATATTTCAATAATAAGTTTTTGACTATTCTGTACTAATAATAAAGCTGAAGAGTTTGTTTGTGTGTTTGATTGAACACTAAAATCTTAGGAACTACTGGAATGAATTGAATAATTGTTTTTGTGTCGAATAGTCCACTTATCGAGGAAGGCTATAGGCTATGTCGCCTGTATATATAATATCACGCTATGACTTATAGGAGTACAGCAAAAATGAAAAATGTTACAAAAACGGGAGAAAAATGTAATATTTAAAGCTTAAAAAAACAAATCTTAATGTGTTAAAGGGATGAAAATGAGTGGAGTTTGTATAGAGCATTAAATAGTTACCATAGTATCCATTGTTTACAATTCAATTAATTTAAATTATACTGCATGTCATGGAAAAAACTTTGTGAGACTGCCATCTATGTGACATCAGAATAGCTTTACGTATAAATGAATTAAGTTATAATTATCTATTTTATACTAACACTGAATAGGTACTTTGTAACATGAGATCATAATTTCACCCCAAAACACTTATATAAGTAGGTACCTACCGAATGAATTTAGAACAGCAATTACGTACATTCAACTAAACATACCTACTTTAAATCAACATGAACAACTAAACTCAATATAACAACAGTCAAATTGACAGTATTTTGTCTAACGGTTACCGTTACCCAATTCTCTGTACATCACGACGAATCCACCATCCATCAAGAATGAAGACAAACAGCGCTCTGCAACGGTATCTATAGTGGGTAGTATCACTTTTATCAGCCATGAAGTTGTTACCACTAATAAGACCAAAAGAACAAAACGAACAAGACGTTTGTCGAGAAACGACATTCCAAAAAATATTTAAATATTTTTATAAGTA